CTGGGATTACAGGCTTGAGCCACCGCGCCCGGCCCCACCCAGCTAATTTTTAAATTTTTTGTAGAGATGGACCCTTGCTATGTTGCCCAGGCTGGTTTAACTCAAGTGATCCTCTGGCGTTGGCTTCCAGAAGTGCTGGGATTACGCCACCTTGCCTGGCCTAAATACTTTTTTTTGGTTCCTCCTCCAAGGACTGTCCCACTGCAATACTGAATGCTTTTTTTTTTTTGAGATGGAGTTTCACTCTGTCACCCAGGCTGGAGTCCAGTGGCATGACCTCAGGTCAATACCACCTCTGCCTCCTGGGTTCAAGCGATTCTCCTGCCTCAGCCTCCTGAGTAGCTGGGATTACAAGTGCCTGCCATCACGCCCAGCTAACTTTTGTATTTTTAGTAGAGACGGGGTTTCACCATGTTGGCCAGGCTGGTCTGGAACTCCTGACCTCAGGTGATCCGCCTGCCTCGGCCTCCCAAAGTGCTTGGATTGCAGGCATGAGCCACTGCACCCAGCCTGAATGCTCTTTTTGATCAAGGGTGGGGAAGGTTTTTAGACCATGGTCTGATGCTCTTTCCCCATCTTTTTGACAGAACTCTATGAATATTGTATTAAAGAAGGCTATGCAGACAAAAACCTGATTGCAAAATGGAAAAAGCAAGGGTATGAGAACTTGTGCTGCCTGCGGTGCATTCAGACAAGGGACACCAACTTCGGGACGAACTGCATCTGCCGTGTGCCCAAAAGCAAGCTGGAAGTGGTAATGTCTGACACACACGCTTGATGTTATTTTCAGCTCAAAAGCTCTAGTCGACTCCAAGGGATCTTACGATATTTGGTTGGGCTGGAATGTCGTTTTGTCCCTGAATGTCCTGCTGGCTCTCCCTCGCGGGAGTGGGTCCCTTTGTTCAGGAATCTGTGTGAGGCAGCGTGTGGCTGTGAGTGTCTCTGTTAGGTCTGGGGCCAATCTCAACTCCACCTTTGGGCAAATTACTGAACCCCTTTCCTCACTTAGGAAATGGTAGTGAGGAGCCCTAATCCCGAGATGGTGGCAGGGTGACATCAGGGAAAGGTGGCCACTGAGTTCCTGTCCCTTTCCCTCAGTCCTCACAGTGATACTTTAACATTACCATCACTGTTTTTCCCCCCGCCCCCCGAGACGGAGTCTTGCTCTATCGCCCAGGCTGGAGTGCAGCAGCGCCATCTTGACTCACTGCAACTTCTGCCTCCTGGGTTCAAATTATTCTCCTGCCTCAGCCTCCGGAGTAGCTGGGATTACAGGCGCCCGCCACCATGCCTGGCTAATTTTGTATTTTTAGTAGAGACGGGGTTTCTCCATGTTGGTCAGGCTGATCTTGAACCCCCAACCTCAGGTGATCTGCCCGCCTCAGCCTCCCAAAGTGCTGGGATTACAGGCATGAGCTACTGCGCCCAGCCCACTATTTCTTCTTTCAGAACTTTCTGTTCCAAGTACCACTCCTAGGCCAGGCACCTCAGGAGTGGTGCTGAGGGACAGGAGCTGAGCTCTATCCGGCCCCAGCCCCCTCTGAAAGGCAGCTGTGGCCTCGGCACACAGTTGTTGGCCCAGCTGGGAGATCAGGCCCCACGGCCCATCTGCCAGCCTGGCCTTCTTGTCCCCAGCTCCACACAGGTGCCTCTTCACACAGGTCCCTTCATGCTGCAGTGAGACAATGGAGAGCTGCGGCTGGATCTGAGGACTTGTGTACTGAGCAGTGGGGGCGAGCAAGGGCCGCCTCCCCGAGGAAAGACTAGGGTGTTGGTTTTCTGATGGAGGCAGGGAGGGGTGGCAGAGTGGCAGAAGCCACCCCTCCCCTGAGTGCCCACATTCCACAAGGGATCCAGGTCGGGGGGCTGGTGGACTGGGGTGCTGCTTCAACCCAGTGGCCAAAACAGCCTGCTGTAGACTTACCTGGGTTTCATCAGAGGATCTTGTTTACTTAAACTACGGTCTTGCTCCTCCAAAAAAAGAACTGAAAAAGTAAAATAAACACAAGCCACTGTTCTAGGGCTTTCTGGCCAGCCAAGCATTGGGCCGCACCAGGCCTGGGGGACAAGACGCTTCTTTCTAGAGGGCTCTGGGCCAGAAGGGTGTAACTCAAGTGCATAGCCTCCTGCCCTCTTCCCCACCAGAGTGTCCCAGCCCAGAGGCTGCCCTGAAGTCCCCAAACAGTAGCAGAGCCACCTCTGCTTATTGCAGGGTCTGTCATGCTCACTTAGGGGAATAACGAGACTCATTCACACCGATTTCTTTTTCTTGATTGGCAAACGTGTGTTGGATTTGCATAACGTATTATAACTACACATACAGATGTAACCTTGGTATCAATAGCAGCTGTTTCCACCTTCATGAGGGAGCCAAATTTTCC